TCAATTATTATCCTAATTATATTTTAGATTTTTTATATTTAAAATGAGATGTTTATTCTGTATTTGATTATGTTTATCTGCAGTTAGTTGCATGAATTTAGATATGGAGCTTTAATAAGTTGTACTTACGCACAATCTACTTGTAATCTTGAGTTTTAAGTAATATGCATTAATAAACAGTACTTCACGCATAAAAGGTGGTTTTTAAGAGTTATTGAAAAATGCTTTATAATATAGTATAAATATAATGGATTTATTTGAGTACAAGTACAACTTTTCATTCAAGATTAAAGTAAAAAAAATAGAAATTCATTTGTTGTTATTTTTATTTATAATAACTCATAAGTTTTTAAACAATTTTTTTGAATAAATAAGCTATAAATTATTGGACTTTTCAAAATCAATTAAGTAATTCATTTGACCAAAATAAAATTAAACACAACCAGATATAAAGGTTAATCAATATAAAACAAAACCTAAACCATTAATGTGAAAATCCACCCAGAATCATTGTATTCCAAGATGAGAAAGTTCAAAGGTAAATGTTGTGGTGGCGTGTCTGATAGCTCTTCGATGATGATTGTGGGAGAAAATAAGAAAGTCATGGTTTGGGGTTTAGGGGGGGTGTTTGTTGTTTAGGGTTTATCAATGGACAAAACAGATGAATTGCATAGATTGGTTTAGGGTATTGTACGTCAAAGACCGAATAAAGTATCAGTTATTTTATGTGATGAGAGTCATTGAATTGTAGGTGTAAGTTATTTAGGATCGTATTAATATTATATGGTTACTGTTTTGTTGTTTAGGGTCTTTCTAGAAGTTGTCGGAAATGGGAGGGAGATTGCTAATGCAAAGTACTCATGCATACTAGTAACTAGTAAGATTCATGCATGGTTTATGCGTTACCTGACTTAGGGGCCGTTTACCAAATGCTTACTCGAGTAAGCACTTATCAAGTCATATTCCCTTATCGGATGAATATGACAAGGACCAAGAATCTTACCTGGTAAGAGCGAAGGCACAAACCGAAAGTTTTACCCGGTAAGTGATGGTGACGACTCTTACCACGGTTAGAGCTTATCGGGTAAATTGTTACATACGATGTCGTTTTGGTAGACTAAAATCTTTCCCGACAAGTAGGAGATAGAGTTTAAATTTATTGTTAAGCGCTTACTAAGTAAGTGCTTAGGTAAACGGCCCCTTAGTTAACCATTGTGGTACTATTGTAGATGAATTTTTGTAAGTTAGAAACTATAAAAAGTTTAGAGATTTATTCGTTCAAATAAATCTTTAGAGCTTATTTGTTAAAATAAATGTTCAGTGACTTTGTCATTCAAAATATGAAAATAGATTGATTAATTTTTTTAAAAATTGACTGCTTCTATAGGCCAAAAAGTACCTATTTAATCGGTTTTACAAAGTCCAATGATTTCAAAAAAATTGTTCGGAAATTTAGGGGACGTTTACTGAACACTTACCTTGATAAGTGTTTATCGCTTAAATTATTTAACCGGGTGAACGTAAAAAGGCTCGAGCATCTTACACGGTAATAAGGATGGAAATGATCGAGAGTCTTACATGGTAAGTGAGAGTGATGATTCTAACCTGGTAAGCGTTTACCGGGTTATAAACGCTTACTATCAATCTATTTTAATGATATCAAATAATATCAAAGCCCCTGTAACCTTATAAACCTAGCTAAGATTATTCCAGGTCACCCAGTAGGAATGGCAACGGGTTGGGTTCATGCTGCTTATTGGTATCCCGTCCCCGAAACCGATAACTAAAATGTCCCCATAACCGTCCTGATCCCCGTTGGGTCTCCGCGGTTTCCCCGATCCCGTTGGGGAACCCGTCAAGGGGTAAAAATCCCCTTTTTCTCGTTGTTTTCTCCGTTCGCCGTTGGTTATACCGAACCTGAAACCCAAACCGATCTGAAATAAATTACAATATGTTAATTTTCACAACTGAAAGTAAATTATAATTTTTTTTAAGATGTAAGTCTAAATATCTCAAACATAATCAAACTAATTACACATATCTTAAATTACAATATAAAAGTAAACATAAATTCAAATATTATACAACTAACATCACGATTTCACGATTAGACAAATAAACTAGACTTTTTTCATAAGCTTTATTTGGAGTGTTGAGTTAAGGTGGATAAAAGTTTTTTAATTTTAATGTTAGTATTTTTTTAATGATATATATATATATATATATATATATATATAAATTAAAATTATATATATACACATATCAGGCCGACAAGCCGGGCCGGCGATCACTGTCCTCGTCCCCGTTAAAATCCCCGAATATGTCTCCGATTCTTGCCTCGTCCCCAATAAGATGTCTCTGAACCCAACCTAAAAGTTTTGATTTTCGCTTTTCACCATCGGTTTCGGGTTTTTTCCCCATCTCTATCACCTAAGGGGACGATTGCCGTAGTTGTAACTAGGGGTGCTCATGGATTGAGTTGATCGGGTTGAAGACATTTGAACAACCCAACCCAATGCTTGCGGTTTGAAAAATCTTAACCCATACCAAAGTGCAAACCAACCCAACCTAACCCGTACGGGTTGGTCGGGTTGATACTTTGGCACATTAAAATTTTCTTACTAACCTTGAATATGTTATTTTTCTACTCATAATTTCTTTTCATCATTAACCATTTGACACAACTTATTCATACTTTTTACGTATACCACATTCAGTTAATTTTCTCAATTTACATATATGAACATATATACGAATGAGTTGTATAGAGATGTGAATAGATTGAAAATATTTGTATATGAAGAGCATACATGATAGTGTAACTATCCAATGTATATATTAATAGAAATTTAAAGATCATATTAAATCTAAGAAATAAAAGGATATCGGATTAATCGGGTTGAGTTGAATTCAAATAATAGTAACCCAATATCAACGGTTTGAAAATTTTACAACTTAATTAGACATGAAATTACTTCGGATTAATTTATTTCACGTTAAATTGGATTGAGTTGATCTGGTTGGTAGGGGTTTTAATTGCAACAACATACATCATATGGTTGAAGCAAACTTGTATGACACACAGTTGTTTTTATTATTACTAGAAGCGTACTCGCGCAATGCAGCGAGATACATCGTGTTTTTAATATTTAATTTTATTCTTTATCTCAGTCGATGTTATAATATGGCTTTATATGATTTTGAGAAAACGATGATGTTTTTATTTTTGAATAAAATATATGTTTGATGAT